TACGTTGTCGATTCTATAGAATCTTTACGAAAGGCGTAAACTAAACTGTGGTCGCTGATGCCTATATGTGAGACCCCTGAACAGACGAACCTATCTGGAGTATTTGTAAAAATTAGATCATTTAGAGTAAATGATTTGTCGGTAATTCTGGTATATTCGGTTATTAACTGATCAAGGCCGTAAACTTCAGCAATATTAGATAAGATATTTGTACTGTTGTCAAACTTAGGCGCGGCCATATTACAATTCAGATCTCCTAAGATGTAATATTCGATATTTTCAGAGTCTAGTTTTCCAATAAGTTCTTCAAATGGTTTAAAAAGATCAATAGAAGAATCAGGGGGTCTATACCAGGTCATAACGGCAAAAGGCCTTGATCTGGGTTTCTTGATTTCGACAGTCAGACTTTCTAAGTGTTCACATATTAGGTCAGAGCGAACAGAATAATTGATTTCGGAACGAATAAAAACACAAACACCCCCTCCAGACCTACCGTTGGTAGAGCGATCGCTACGAATAGATTCATAGCCAGAAATATGAATTTCATTATCGCTTATTGTGTCATCCAATTTAGATTCGTTTATGGCTAAGATATCGATAGGTCTGTCGGAAAGCAAAATTCTTAGTTCGTCAATGTGTGCAGATAGACTATTAATATTTAGCGAGGGTAATTTAAAGCCTCGTTTAGACGGGAGAAGTTCATGAGAAACGATTAGATTTCCAAGGTCGCGATTACGCTCTGAATTAAACGAACGGCGAATAGGTCAATTACATTCATCTAATTTATTCGCGAAGTTGTTATACATTTTGGCAATACCTGTCTCACCAAGATGAAGTCCTCCTCTATTTAGGTCCGCAGAGTGAATGTCATCGTGGCCTATGAAGTGCCACTGACGCTGATTGCAGAATTTTCGAAGCCTTTTATTGACAGCATCAACATCGCCGCTAGCTGAGAGGTCCGATAGGTCCGAAGCTCTAGTGACTAATACTGCCCCATGTTTTGTTCTTGATTTCAGTAGAGGTTTGGTTGAATTGTGCTTTGCGCTCTCTGTGTTATATCTTGAGATCTCTGGGGAGGTTTTTGATTAACTTCATTACTTGCTTGATGAACCACATCCACGTCAAACACCGACGTATGCAAATCCAAGTTCACAGAGTTGCCGGGGAACATTGTTTTGATAAGCCGATTGACTATTTTCTTCAAAAGCTCTCCTTCACTTGACTCATGTTCGCCCTCGTTTACGTCGGCTAAACTGAAGTTCCCGTTGTGCCTCGTATGATCCTGCAGCATTTTTTTCCAATCTTGAGGCCTGATCTCTCAGCAGGTTTTGACTCTTTAACTCAAGATATCCATAACCTTTCTCCTCCCGTAGATCCTTCATCACTTCTATATAACCTTTCTTCCTTCCATTTGTGTAACAACGACGGTTATTTGAAGACACCATTTCCTTGACTTTTTTCTTGCACTCTGGAATATCGCTGTTCATAGTAATAATAATGATAATAATACTTGATAATAATAATAATATAAAAATTCTTTATGAAAATCTTATAAAAACTACGCACAAAACTTCTGTAAAATATTCATAAAAATAAAACGTCCACATCAATATTATATATCAATACAAATTTCCGGCAAAACCCCTTCACAATTCAAAATTCTAAGAAATCACATACAGTTTTTTAAAAAAATCAAATCAAAGTTCTATCAGCCTCTAAAATTAAAAAGTTTCTTTAAAATGTTTCTAATAATAAAAGACGAGAGTCAAGGAATATACGCGTTTCATCCGCTTTTTCGGCTCCTGAACCTGTACACTCGCAATAATAAAGTATCTAAGTATCCCAATAATAAAGTATCTATAGCTGTTGAGTCTAGGGAAGTCCTGCTTGACCCTTCTCTATTTCTAGATCCCTGTCCTTAAAATCTAAGTTCCTCCTTCTCGGGGTTCTCGATCCACTTAGGCATAGTAGCGCACTCCGCAAAATTGCAAAGGACGCTTTCGCCCTGACCCATGAAATTGTTGTGGCGTAGCTCTCTTGCTTTTTTTCAGATAATAGCTCGGCTAATCTTGAATGGTATCTCAGGCATTCGTCAGCATTCCTCCCGTCGTTGTAAATACCAGTGGGGTGAATGTGCCTTGCTCTATTTCTGTGACGCGAGAGTTGTATTCTCGCTTCTTTTCATTTTCGTGAATCCTGTAGATTTGCTTGGGGCTAATATCTCTATACGAGTCCGCATTAGGATGACACACCCTTATATCGAAAAATGCAGCCCTTTGTCGCTCCCAGAAACCCCTACAGTGGACGTCAAGGCGTGCATCAGAGGCTTGGTTAGTCCCTCTGGCAAGCTCTTCGCCTGTAATTGGTTGTAGTGCCGGTTCAACTTGCACATCGTAACAAACCATGTCAAGTAGCTCGGCCTGTAGATCGCCTATTTCATTGTAGCGCTGAATAACTAAGCCTCCACGCCGGCAGATCATCGCGTGATCTACTGTAAACC